TACGCGAGTCGGATCTACAAGTGCGCGCGGGATACTTTCTTGAGCAGTGGCTAGTAATCGAACCTATTCCGTTTTAGGTGGTATCTTTTAGGGGTCTAATGACGCTCGAGTAACCCCCACATTAATCTTCTTTAGGAGTTAAATTCAAATCTTCCGACGAGCATCCCTGACCTTCTCATATGGGAGTTCCCCCCTCCCGGGGTTCCAAATGTCTAACGGGAAGTAAAGGAGTGAAGGAGTGAAGGAGCGAAGGAGTGATGGTGTGAAATCGTCCCACCACTGCAACAGTTAAAAAGAAACATATAGTTCATTACTAGGGACTATTTTAAGTCTCTAAGTAACATTAGATCCGTTCATGTCACCCCGTCTTTCTTGGTTCATAATCTAGCAGCCTGTACAGTGCTCCTTAAGTAAACCAAAGCGTCTTGTTAGTAAAGTATTCCCCATTGCTTGTGTTCTGTACGTTCAGTTCAAATTTTCGATTTCTAGCGGCTAAGCACATGGTTCCCAGACTCCCGGTTGAGACAAAAAACACGGCTTACCGCGCGCGTGTTTCCTTCGTAAAAAGAACAAAGTTTTTATTATTCTTCTCTGAATACAATTAGTATTCCTACTCTTACTACATTTTTGTCAGCCTTGTTCATTAGATAGTCGATTAGCGAAACAGAAATTAAATTTGCTATCCAGGAATCATATTCCTTATAACATAGAGCGGTTTTCAATTGAGTGCCGTAAAACCAAAACCAAACTAATTACTTACCAATTAGACTGCTCAGCCAATCTCAAACCGTAGTAAAACCAAAACCAAAACCAAAGTAGTTGTCTAATTACTTTCGACACTCAATTGAAAACCGCTCTACAACGGATCACTCCTAACTGGTTTCTCGCTCTGGGTTTCCCTTTATCGAAATCTTATAATGTAATTTTTCAACCGCCTTTCACTTAAACCGATAAAATCATTTCACTGTTCGCTATAGAAAACTTAAGAAAACAGTGATCATTGACCGTGCACTTTGGGCATAATTTAACTCTTCATTCGCGCAGTTTGCTAAAACCAAGGACCAAGAACACATGGCAACGCGAAGACGGGATACTATATCTGAAAATAATTTACAGTAAGGGATAAGGTCGTTTTAACTCCCTCACCTTTCCTCTTCCTTTGACACAGGCTAGTTTGCTTTCCACAGTGTCGAATTTCTCTCGGGGGAGAAATAAAAGGTAAAACGTGAAGTCTGCATACGAGCAAAGTTGCCAATCAGGACGGAGCTTATCTCGGTTTCTGTAGCATGAAGTGGCTAGGAGTATTTCTACTCCCAGAGGAGGGGGTTCTAGTCTATCGGATCGTTCCCCCTGCATTAAATTCGTCGTTTTCTTCATTAATACACCTGACTGGATAGAGGTTCAGTGAAAATAAAGTGCCTTGCACCTCTTCCCCAGGCCGGTGGGTGGTGATCCTAAATGACAGCAGGACGGGAGTAATCGCCATATCATTTTGGGATTCAAATTCCTATCTTAGTACCGCTTGGTGTGTTTAAATCTAAAGCGATCACTGT